TTAAAAAAAAGAAAATCCAATAAAAATTAAAAAAAAACATCATCAACTCATCAACCCCTTAACCACGAATATTTAGTACTAATTCAATATCTTCTTTTGACAGTGTTGCTCGCTTAGCATGAATTGTACATAGTCGACTGATGATGATAATGGGGAAGAAGTTTTTTTTATTAATAGTAATATTGTTAATAGAATAAATAGAATCATTATCTTTTTACAGATTGAAAATTATTAAATCAACTTATGCATCCTGAAACAACTCAATTAAATATGTCTCAGCAGCTAATTAAAAAAAAATATAATATTATACACACACATATAAATTCACAAATTCATACATGTAGGATTCAATCAAAAAATAAATCAATTAATTACCTTCTTGAAGTGCTGTAATGGCTGTGGATTCAAACTCAAATCCCATATTAGAATGTTGTTGAAATATGTTTGTGGCAATTTCTTCAATCTATACATATATATACATAATGATTAATTGACTAGTATTTGTATATTAAATGATTATTAATAATGTAATAATAATCTTCTGATCACTAACTACTCTAGAAAAAGGTATTCTTCTTAGAAGAAGATTTGTTGTTCTTTGATGTCATCTGATTTCATTTAAAGCTATATTGTACCTTGGTGGTTTTGTGTAAAAGCCTGTTTTTTATTTTAAAATAATGTATAGAATATCATTTAGTCACTTTTACAAATTGATATGCAAATAATTATTTAAGCAAATTCAATTGGTTGAATTTTATACACATCTTTAAAAATCAGCACTTACATCTGGTATTTGTTGATTCATTTAAATTATTTGTCAGGTCCATTAGATCATCACCATCATTGCTATCATTATCATCCTTTGTAGACATAATGGTACTTACAATTTCTTGTCTTTCCTCTTCATCTTTTTCTACTATATTCTCCAAAACAACAACATCATCAATACTATCTTCTTGGTTTATTTTCCCTTCATTGTCATCCTCTTCCTCTGATATCTGCAGATCCTGTAATATTGATGCAAATATTAATATTACAATTTTCTAAAATATAAATAATAATTAATAAACAAGAATAACTAAAAAATACCTCTATATTATTGTTATATAATGTACTGTCATTGTACATTTCTAGCTGTAGTTGATCCAATTCTCTTGTTATTTTGTCTATTGTGAATTGGTATTTTTCAACTACATTATTTAAATGGGCTATATCTTGAGATTAATCAATTGTTTCCGATATGGCTTTTAGTGCATATTTGAAACAACGCTAATTTTTGTTCCAAAAAAATATAATTATTAGATCCTGACAAATTTACATACTCAACCAGTGTTGGAAATTCAATTGTGTCAGTTATACAAATTTGTTAACTTTTTTGCTAAGATAGTTTGCAAATTTGATTAGTGCACATACCCTGCACATCTGAATTTCCAACACTGTATTTCAATGAGAATTATGAGAATGGAATTTACTTACTAAATAAGGTGATGGTGATGGTTGAAAGATATAATAACCATTGTTATTGCTATAACTATTATTATCACCATTGTCACTACCACCACTGCTACTGCCATTTTCAGTGTTTCTGCTGCTACTGCCATTGCTAATACAATTATTATCCATAGTAGTGACATTACCATTATAATCTATAGTAATACTAGTGTTATTAAAATTATTTATAATATTATTAGTTCTAGCGATATTATTAATTAAACTTTGATTAATATTAATGGCTTTAGCATCAGCAGCCTTTTCAATTTCAGTAGCCGTTGTTTGAATATCTTTAACATTGCTATCTTCCTTTCCATCATCGTCACCATCACTATTTTGTGTTAGATTGATAAAATTTAATTCATTCTCTATATTTGAATTATTTTTATTCATAATGCCACAACTGCCATTATTGTTGCTGCTACTAACACCTTCCATATCATCATCTTCATTATCTTTTCTTTTGGTGTTAAACAAAA